CTGTGGTCTTCCACTGTTTACCAAGTACGTCAAGTTCTTGAAAGTCATCTATCTACACTCAAGTCAGAAGGGTTGCTGTAGTCAAGTCAGACGTTTTGTTCAAGTCAAGTCATCAACGTGATAATTTTTATCACCTTATTTCGATATTGTCTCACCAATGTCGAGTAAATATCGTCTGTGTGTTTTTTCTATTTGGATTTAGCTGTTCAATTTTTTTTCTATATGGATTAGCTGTTCAAGTTTTTCTACTGTTTGGATTTAGCAGATCAAGTTTATTTTTGTAACTGTTCCTAAAGATGTCTTATCTAAAACTGGACAAATTTCTACTCTGTAACAGGCTACTAGAACTATTTTGAATTTTTTTCAACTTTTTGGAATCAACAAAGTGAACTATTTTTGTACTATATATGTACTATGAACTTTTCTTGGATTACTAGATGTCTCTAATCAACTGAACAAAGCCAGAATACAAGAAAGGGTATTGTAAATTAATTAACATTTATCTATTGTCAACTAATGAATTTATATTTTATGTCATAGAAAATATATCAAAATGTTATGTTTTGAAGAATATCTAGCACTAGCGAGGGCGCAAGGCATTAAGAAGATGAAGAAGCAGATAGCCTGGGCAAACACTCGATTTGACCGAGACATAGAAAAAGCATTAGAAGCATGGGACGAAGAAAATGAACAACCCAGACTAGCTCATGGAAAAGTAATAAGAGAATTAGATGGTGAGACAGAAATAGTGCGTAATAGATCAAGAGCTATTACAGAGGTGCAAAAAGAAGAAGAAATGTCAGATGGAGATAAAGTAGAGGAGACTGTACAACCAAAAGGAAAGAGAAAAAAAAGAAACAGAAAACAGAGAGCAGATAAAAGGGCTGAAACTTTGGAAAAACAAGTTGGCCTACATGAACTAGAATATAAACAAGAACTATTAGAAATGAAAGCTATAACAGACACAAATGAACCAAAATTAGAAAGTGAACAGACAGAATTTAAAGCAGAACTTGAAGAAGTAAATATTGGCAACCTTTGGAATGAAGAACAGAGTAACATAGTCCAGGAAGAATTGAAACCCAAGGAAAAAACAGAGGTTGAACTTAATAATGATTTAAAGGTGACAGATACATTAGAATGTTTTAAAATTGACTCTTTATTGACTCAAACGCAGGTACACAAGAATATTATTGAAAGTTGTATCGTAAGTCCATCAGAGAATGGCAGTCAACAAGAAATAAGTCCATCAGAGAATAGTAATCAAAATGATTTAATAAGCCCATCAGTCAATGGCAGTGATGATTTAATAAGTCCATCGGAGAATGGCAGGAATCATGATAAACTAATGATGATTAATGAATCAGTGAACTTAATAAGCCACAATAAAGAGAACGTACCTATTGAGGAGTTACTTAGAAATCTGGAGTCAAACTTTAAAGAAGATATCCTAGAACTCAAGAATAAATTTAACAAAGAAATGGAGAAATTAACACAGAAATTTATGTGTGAATTAGAATCAATAAAGAAGCACAAGGAAGTTAAGAAAGATGAAACAGTAACTAGAAACTACAATGTCATTAATGCACAGAATGAAAGTAAAAGAAATTTAGCAAATTATGAATACAGTCAACATGTTAATAAGAATGTCATTAATGTCATTAATGCACAGAATGAAAGAAAAAGAAATTTAGCAAACTATGAATACAGTCACCATGTTTATAAGAAGCCAAAATCTAGATGTTTTTACTGCGGAAAGACAGGTCATTACCAAAATCAATGTTGGCATAGGTTGGCAAATCAGAGAAGAAACAATTATGTACACAGAAAGTCATGTGAGAAATACGGTAATTTAAGAAATAATGTATCAAGTTCAAATCAGAATAACAAAAGTGTGAATAGGTATACTAATGGAAGTTACCGACGCAACACATATTATGAGAGGCCAAAGCAATGCCATAATATTTATATTAAGTTGGTTGATGAACCAAACGAACGTACACAAAGCAAGATAACTACTGACGTTGTTCAGAAACCAGAGGAGAATATTAAAACAAATGAAGTAACACAAGTTACACGAAATCTAGGAAATGATTATGGTAGCACAGCTAAAAGCTACAATTTGAGGGAGAGATGGCATACAGGTCATCGTCAACTGCACGAGAACGATTACTCATGCTATAGAGGATGCTAAGATTAAATTGTCAATTGACAGTTTATTAATATTATACAGTCTGTAACTGTAATATATAAATATCAAATAATGTGTTTGAGTAAACATAAATTGTGTATTATATCTAAAGAATGTAAACTGTATTATGTTAAACCTATTCTATACTATTAATTAACAGGGAATAATGTATAAAGTAAAAGTTAAAGACTATTTATTCCGAATAACAATAAGACGGAAGTCTCAATGATGAATTGTGTATTAGTCAATACCTGTGAAAGGCAAGAATGTGGTTGTGTTGTGACCTAGATATGACTGAAATGGGTCGACTAGGGGAGACAATAAGGTATATGACTTATGTGTAGTAATAACATGCCTTGATGATAAGGAAGTTTTTTTTACTACATAGGATATAATTATTTAATTCATGAGTTGAATTAAGTCTTTGATAATTTCAACTATGTATTATAGTTTGGTAATTCACTAAACTCATTTGTCTTGTTTATACAATTACTTGGTAATTGAAATGTTTTTCTTTCTCATATTTGAATACATTACACATAATGCTTGTGCATTAGTCTACAAAGAATGTATTTTTCCATGTTTTTGAGATGCATAAAAATTTTGTTGTCTGGCACATGATCCTGCCCTACCAATATTGTATTTATAAATTTTGTTACACAAAATTTTAATTGAAGGGGGGACGTGTCACAGACTGTATAATTATGTATCCTTATTATATTGTGTTTTGCATGAATGAAGAGTACCTGGCTAGCGGAAGGACTGTCTGAGCGATCGTCATGTGTTTGTCCATGCTTTTGGGTGAGATCGCTCATTGTACGTAAGGGGAGAGAAAGTAGTGAATAAAAGGGAGAGCGAAAGGTGAACGGGTGTGGTGTGCTAGAACTTGAACCTGAGGACTGTGGCTGTGAATGTAGGATGTTACTACGACACTTTGTTTCTTGACTGTGATTGTACTTATACCAGTTGTGACCATGGATTTACTATGGATCTATTAATTCTCTGTACAAAGTGTAAATAAAGTTATTGTTTCACAACTACTGTTGCTCGTATGAGTATATTGAAGAACCCACAATAACAACAAAGAATTCATGTTGTTACACTTCTGACACCATATGTAACAACATGTATTCTTTGTTGTTGTGGGTTTCATACAGGAACACGAGCAACAGTGGCAACTTGAAATGACAACTTTATTTACACTATGTACAGATAAATCCGTGGTACATCCATATTTGAAGATCAACTGATATAGGTACAAATAATAATCACGACTCCAAGTCATGGAGACATCTTACATTCACTGCCACAGTTCAAGTCCCAAGTCCTAGCACACAACACCCGTTCACCTTTTGCTCTCCCTTTTATTCACTACTTTCTCTCCCCTTACGTACAATGAGCGATCTCACCCAAAAGCATGGACAAACACATGACGATCGCTCAGACAGTCCTTCCGCTAGCCAGGTACTCTTCATTCATGCAAAACACAATATAATAAGGATACATAATTATACAGTCTGTGACAGTATCCAAGCAGTATAGTATGACTTTTTAAATATATATATATATATATTTAAAAAAAGGTCTTTGAAAATAAATGAATAAATACAAACACAAAACTAAAAATAATATCAAAAGTAAAATTAAAACAAAATAAATTTAATTTTTTAAATAATCCAAAAAGAAACGCCATTACTGCTTTTTTAGCATGCCTTACAGTCACCATATAAACTATGTTTAAGAAAGCAACATTGTAAGGCTAAGCACCATTCTCGAGTATTCACCTAGTAATAGCCACGTTTCCAACAACAAAATAAAGGTGTTTTGGGGGATTTTCGGTTAGAAATAAGGACTTAATACAGCAAATAAAAATAAAAATAAACTCAGGTTGTCATATTTTTTTTTCTCTAATTAGACTCATCAAAAATTTTAAAATACGTCCGAAATTTGTCCACAGAGGAACAAAATGAAATCTCTTTTACAAAAAAAAAAAAAAAAAAAAAAAAAAGTAATTTAAAACAAAAAACACTTAGAAATGGGAAATGTTTCAAAAAAACATTTCAAATAGATGGGCTGTACCAGCGGCGTATACCCCCTTGGTGGGTCACGGTGTCATCGTCCTGCACCACCAGACAAATGAGAATTTCCGCCACGGAAATAGCCGCCGTCTTAACTCACGAGGCGGTGCTGTTACATTCTACCCCCCCCCCCCCCCCCCTTATACCACCCGCCTCCCCCACTTGGGGCAACCTGATAGTGTAGGTGTGTTTAGAGAGTAAACATCGAGCCGCAGGTACAGAGGGGGATGAGGTTACATGGCAAGGGGTCTCAAATGATACATCGGAATGCCGAGAGGGTGGTAAATCGTTGGGGGGGGGGAAGGGGGTAATCCGTAAAGGACAATTTTTCTTTCATATGTTACTGGAATAGTTTCGTTTGGGTGGGGATAATTGGTGCTTCCAAGAAGGACGATGGTGTGAATTTAAGATTTTAGAAACTTATCGCTTCGAAATCTTAAGAAGGTCAGAACACAGTTTTTGCTCTAACCTCAACTATAGGTTTATCCAAACACAATCATAACATTAACCTAAATGCTAATTTATAAAATGAGATTGTATGACCATGTCTGCGTTGCAAGAAGAAACACTTGCTAATTTCAAATCTAGCCAATCAAAACACTTCTTACATTCGCTCATTTCAAATCTATCCAATCAAAACACATCTCACATCCTCTAATTTCAAATCTAGCCACCTATCCAATCAAAATCCATCTCATATCCTCTAATTTCGAATCTAGCCAATCACCTACCTTCTGGCATGTGTGATATCACGACGTGTGGCTGGAACTTGGACGAGGAACAAATGGTGCAGCAGCCACAGTGGTCCTTGATGGGCTGACCCTCGCAGTAGTGCAGTTCCGGGCACTTGGCCACGTGACACACCCCACATTTCAGGGGGTTGTAATATCCGCTCACCGCTTGAATTTGGCATAAACTTGTCACGGCGACCACCCAAATAGCCAAGTATCGTACACTTCCAATGCCGGTGCTTCGGAAATTGTGTGTTATGTCCGGCATTGTTATAAATAGAATAAAAAAAATCCCCGACTTTTTTTTAAAGTAAACAAAATTCACAAATGTTTTAACACAAATCTTCCACCTGTTCTTGTATAAACATCCAAGAAAGACAACTCTGTTTGATTTTTATTTTTTGTAAACGAATTATTCCCCTTTGTTACTCAGCTTCCTTTGAGTTTGTGTGCCAAATTGTTGATTGGGATTTAGGTGATATCTTATCTTTAAGTCAACCTGAAAACAGAAGGCAAACATGTAAACAAAAAAATATGAAAATAGACCAGACGGTTTCATATAAAAATCGGAGCGATAATAACATTTGATGCGGTGATGTGAACACAATAGCGCAAACAGAGAGCAGGACAGAACTGATGGTCTCAGTTATGTGGTGGTGTCTGGCGAACATCTGCAAGAAGTGGTCTCACTAGGAACCTACTTTACCAGAACGAGTAGTAATTCCACTATTCCACAAAGAGTAGTGGTTTCTTTTGGAACCCACTTTCCAAATCGAGTATTGTTTTCAATTGTAACCGACTTTTCCACACCTAATAGGAATTTATTTTGGCACCCTCTTTTCCAAAGAAGGTAATGGTTTCAATTGGAATTCATTTTTCCATAGCGAGTAGTGATTTATTTTGAACCCACTTTTCCATAAGGAGTAGTGGTTTCATTGGGACCCCACTATCTTAGTCTATGTAGTGGTGCCAGTAATCTGCTATCTCACTATGAGTAGTGGTATAGACCATGTTGCTAGAACTGTTTTTTTTTAAGAATTAAGATCTATTAAGGGATCTGATGAGAGAGGAATTAGTAACATTTTTATAGGTAGTATTTAATATAAGGGGGTTGGGGGGGAGGGGTTGCTCCAGCCTTTAGTTAAGATCTGATGTTGTGATGTTGATAAGGGGGATGGGAGTTAATATCTTCAAGAGTAAGGTGACGATATTTATTGACGACCCCCAAAATTGAATAAAATATGGATCCACGCTCATGACCAACCTAGAACATTTACATATTTTCCAAATTATGGAAAAATAAATCAGATGTTCACACAATCGTTATCGCCAATGGTAGTAGTTAGGGGTGTCTTTAGCCGAAGAGAGCGAACTGGGTTCTTTGCGAACAACTCGGCCTAGGAGCGAACAACTCGGCCTAGGAGCGAACAACATCACTGGGGTACCTGGGCCGAGAAAGAACTTAATTTTCTTCTTCTCAGTTCTTAATTTGTACGGTTAGACGGAATTTTCTCCAACACAATTAAGTATTACGTGTCAACATGTACAGCATGAACGGTAATACTGGCGGAGTTTTGAAACTTGTAAAGGTATTCTCAAGTTGTATTTCAGAAAAATGTAAATTTTTTTTGTATTTCAGAAATATGTTATATTTTTCGTACGTCAAAATTTAAAATATTAACTGTTGAACTAATTGCATGCATCATTAGAATGTCATAATGACTGCTGGGGATTACTGCGGTTTCTCTATTTCACGAACGTTTTTTCTTCATTTTGTGGTAATCAATTATTTTTTCTCACCTTCTGTTGATCCGTGGAAATCACCACCATTCATCGTCTTACACCTAATGACCTCGCTAGTTGCCATAGCAGCGGAGCAGCAACAAAAAGGGGAGCTCACTCTACATCATTGACTGCTGAGAAAACAAATTTGAGAAAAGAATTGAAAGGAGAAAAAAAAATCCTGTTTGAAAGGAAAGTAATTAATTACTGAAATCAAACGAGCTTTTAGCGAGTGTGTCAGTGGATTTGACTACGAATGATTTTTATTTTAAGCAAAATAATTTTATAAAACAAAATACGTTTGTTGGTTGTTCAAAAAAAAAAAACATTTAATGATGAGTTACACTTCGGTTTCTGAGTTAGAAGTGGGATTAGGGCAGGAAAAATAAACAACAAAATTTTTGTTCTCTTCCTTGTGAAGATTTAAATGATTGTGCTCTAATTAGCCAAGACTGTGGATTTGTGTTAACCTTCACACCCAGTCGATGATAATTCTTAGCCAATTTACGTAAGAACACGTTTGATTGGACAGTTTCAGAATAGTCAAATTTCTCTCTCCCCCTTTCTCTTCTCTCACAGTCTTCTCTCTCCCTTCTCTCTCCCTCACTCTCTCTCTCCACTCCCTTCCGTTTTCCTCCCTCTCCCCTCCAGCCAGGGGCGTAGCGAGGGGGGTGAGGACCGCACCGGGTGACACCATTTAGGGGGGTGACACCAAGGCAAAAAATATCAAAATATATAGAGAAAAACTCGAGGGGGGTGCAAATCGAAAGTTTGAGGGGGGGGGGGTGCAAATCGAAAATTTGAAAGTTTGTCCCTGGGAAGGGTCTCTATGCCTCTGGGGGTTGACACCATTAAGTGCCGCACCGGGTGACACCCGACCTCGCTACGCCACTGCCTCCAGCTCATATCTTCCCCTCTCCATTTATGTATTTCTAGAGATAAAATCTCACGTACTATTATATGAAAAGATAAATAAAGACAGAAAAGGGATAAAAATAGAATTTTCGATACCTACTTAAAAAAAACAACAAAAAAACCCGATTCGTTTTATTATTCTAACACATTCAGAAATAAACTTAACAAGCTAAACGCATTTACACTAAACACTACCTTGTCTCCAAAAATAAAATTGTCACTCATTCAAACTCATCGCGGTATGCTTTCTCCGTTAAAATATCTGCACCTCAAATAAAATATCCGCACCTCAAATAAAATGTCCGCACCTAAAATAAAATGTCCGCACGCCAAAGAATTCTTGAAACATTTTCCAAATGTGTGAACTCCATGCAGGCGCCATCAGCATGTATAGGACTTCATGCGGTGCATCGTGAGTACGTTTCGCCGTCAGCGATCATCTTCGTTGGTTCAACGTGAGTGTAGCTCACCAGATATTCATTGTACTAGGGAGGGCGGGGGGGGGGGGGGGCAAACCATCGGGCTGGGGCACTTACACATATCTAGGGTCGCTCTAAATACGAGTTTATTAACTACGAGTCGTTCAACTACAAGTCTTTTAACTACAGGTTTTTTAATTATGAGTCTTTCAACTACGAGTCGTTTAACTACAAGTCTTTTAACTACGATTGAACTATTCCAGTTTTTTATACTATTTGCATGGTGTACTAGTACTAAGTGTGCTTCAATGTATCTGTGTGATAATGGGTCTGTGTTGTTGCATCTGTGTGTGTATGCGAGCAGCATGTCACGTGTGTGTTTTTGAGTGAGTGCGTATGTGTCTTTACGCGTGGTGTGTGTGGGTGTGGCGTTGGTGTTATTCTTAGAGTGTTTGTGAATGTGTGTGTGTGTGTGTTTGTGTGTGTTTAATTAACTTTGTAAACACATGACAATATTTATTTAAATCATGCCACTTAATAGCGGGTTTACTTCTCTTCGTTTCTCTAAATTAAGTGTTAGATTATTAGAGCCATTTCTCTTCGTTTCTCTAAATTAAGTATTAGATTATTAGAGCCATTTCTTTTCGTTTCTCTAAATTAAGTATTAGATTATTAGAGCCATTTCTCTTCGTTTCTCTAAATTAAGTATTAGATTATTAGAGCCATCGTATTCAAACAACATGTTTAGATCTAACAGCTACAAGAAAAATAAATGGAAGCTTTGTAAAACTTGCTCGGACTGACTTAGTAATTTATGCAAGTAAGACGCTAGGGTGAAACACCAACAGAATAATTTAACACACACAGCGGTAAGTACAGTTAGAAACTAGTTGCATTACAACACGAAATTTAAAAAAAAAATAACAGAATGTAGAAGACCCAGGTATTTATATAGCTCATTAGTCAATGGGGGTTGAAAAATGTACAGTGGTCATACAGACCTTTTATAATTAATTAAAATTAATTTAACAGCCGGGGACTGGAGAAAATGGAACGTAATGGTTGAGGCCCTTATGATACACGAGGAGTACAGAGGACTGAGTCAAAATTTAACACACGAATTAGATATTAGGAAGGTGGGGGGGGGGGGATTTTTTGTTGTTTTGTTTGGTGATGTATTTAGTGATGTGTTTTGTGATGTGTTTTGTGATGTGATTTGTAGTGCTTAGTGATGTGTTTTGTGATGTGTTATATATTAAGGTGATTTGTTTAGAGGTTTGTTTTGTGATGTGCTTTGTGATGTGTTTCCTGATGGGTTTTGTGATGTGTTTAGTTGTTTTTTTTTGTGAAGAGTTTTGCTTCAGTTCAGTGAGACCACAGTAAGAATAGATGATGGTCGAGCTAAAGGTACCGAGTCGATGCAGGTAAAGACCGCTGTAAGGAGAGACGGACGAGCTAAGGTACTGAGTCGATGCAGGTAAAGACCGCTGTAAGGAGAGATGGTCGAGCTAAGGTACTGAGTCGATGCAGGTAAAGACCGCTGTAAGGAGAGACGGACGAGCTAAGGTACCGAGTCGATGCAGGTAAAGACCGCTGTAAGGAGAGACGGACGAGCTAAGGTACCGAGTCGATGCAGGTAAAGACCGCTGTAAGGAGAGACGGACGAGCTAAGGTATTGAGTCGATGCAGGTAAAGACCGCTGTAAGGAGTGACGGACGAGCTAAGGTACCGAGTCGATGCAGGTAAAGACCGCTGTAAGGAGAGACGGACGAGCTAAGGTACTGAGTCGATGCAGGTAAAGACCGCTGTAAGGAGAGACGGTCGAGCTAAAGGTACCGAGTCGATGCAGATATTGATCGTATCCCTGTGACAAGTTCCTCACGCTTGACCTCACACGACGGGAACAATTGACCTGTTGTCACGGTCGATGGCCACGCATGACCTCAGCGTATGCGTGCTTGCTGGACATTAGATGGCGGGCTGTTTTTTAAATTTGTGACGGTAGACGTAAAGGTGGGCTGGGAGTGTGTGTGGGGGTATGGGGGAGGGGGGGTGAGAAGGTGGATATTTTCATAAAACCTTAATCAAGAGTACAGAATATAAAAAAACAACTCTGAAAGTAAGAAGTAGCAAGCAGAATATATATATATATATATATATATATATATATATATATATATATATATATATATATATATATATATAAATATATATATATATATATACACAACGATTTGTTGATAATTTAAAAAAAAATAGCTTTCTCTCTGTTCTAACGAAGACATAGTTAACTAATCGTAGTAGTGATGTTTCTAGCATTAGCGACTTATTAGATTTACCAACCTGATTTAAGTGACGTTTACGGTAAACCCATTTATTATACACAAAACCCGTATATTTCGAGCAATGAACGGTTTTCGCGTAGGTCTCCGATAAAAGGGTCTCAGCTGAGTCATTGTGTGCCTATTTAAAAGTCATCATCGCATGCATTAGACTAGAATTCATTTTTGCTTCCATTGCTACTCTAATCCTAATCCTGGCTCTTACACTAGTCTAGCACTGAACTCTAATGTTGACTGTTTTTCTGATTCTATCTCTAATCATAAAAGCGATAAAAAACAAATATCATACCGTACAGTAATGTCTTGCCCATGTGGCTTATAACACGCGAAAGAAACGCCATTTGGTTTTGTCCATCTCTTTAATCCAGCTATAACCTTCATAATCCCAACACGATAGCCCTAATCTTAACACCCCCATCTCGAACTAACTCTAAAATTAGATGGTAAATACATTTTTCAATATTACATTATTTACACCCAAACCGTACATTTAAGAAATGTAAGTATTAAAAATTAATTTAAAAAAAAACTCACAAAAAACCCTCAACAAAAAAAAAAACATTAAAAAAGCAACAACCAAACACCTATAGCCCTATCTTGTAGGCCCCCTCTCTATGCGTATCCTCTGCAGCAGATCTCCCCCCGCGCCCATACAACCTGTTACGTTCATACACCCTCGCTAAGCCGACTCGGGACCTGCGGCCATACAAGGGGAGCGCACCACAAAAGACCCCCACGTCCCGAGGTTTGCCCACAGAAAGCCCCTGCCGTTTGTTTAACGTAAAGCCCCTGGGTTAGCGAGTATTCCCAACGCCCGACTCCGCTGTTAGCAGCGCGAGACGATAGATTGGTTGCCATGGAGCTCTCAATGGGACACGATTAGAAATCCGACGCCGGTTCGTCATTAAGGGGAGATAATTCAGATGTACATTTTTAAAAAAAGTGGGGTAACTTTTCTTAAAGAGTAGGAAAATTAGTTACACTAACTAGCCAATATAGGCTTAAATGAATAATTCTGATTTTTCATGTTTTTCAATTGACACATTTGATATTTTGATAAAAACTATCCTTAATCATAGCCATATGCTGAGCTAAATTTATTAAATGTACTGACTAAACCTTACAAAACCGTTATATTATTGAGTTACATTAAGGATAAGTTACACTAACTAGCATTAACATGCGATGGTCTGTCTGCTTCGATATCTCAAATAATCTAATAAAGCTGGAAAAAATTTTTTTTTAAAAAAGCTGGACATGTTAACTTATTTTCATAGCAAATAAAAGTATTCAAAAAAAAAAAAGCTGGACTGCTAACCCGTAAGTCTGAAGTTCGAATCCGGGTTCATATCAGTAGACCGTCCCTGAGTCAACCCAACCCTGGTGGGCACCCAACTCATGTTAGGGAAAGCAAAGGCGGCTGGGCATAGTGCTGACCACACCATCCCTTCATATGCC